AAACTGAGAAATACAAGCAACCTAAAATCTCTTTACCTTAATCGGAAAAAAGGACTAAATTTAATAAAATCATCAAACAATCAATGTAATATCATCAATAAATGTGATGTCACTAAACAAACAATGTAAATTGATTATAATATCATCAAACAAATGATGTAACTCTTTTCAATGTGACAAGTTCCAATGAGCTATATAAAATAAGAAGACAAGCACCATAAAAAAAAAAAAAATTTTAAATTAAAATTTTTTTTTTCAAGTTTGATGTCTGTGGCTCATCAGGAAATGGAAACCTGTCAGACGTGAAAACACGATGATGACATAATAACTTATAGCTTGAATTGATCTGTAAACTTTCAGTTTATCAGGTTGACGCTCTAAGTGATCATGCTAAACACGATGATGTGTTGATAAAAATAGTAAATATATTAAGGTCAAGCGACTGTGCTGGCCAAATTTGGATTTTTTACCAAACATTTTTTCGTATGATGTGTAGTATGGCATGTAGAATTGTCTTGCTGTAATAATATTGAAGATTTATTTCATTTGGAAATATTTTATTAACTTTATGATGTGTCATAACACAATTTAAACACTTTAATTTAATTTTTTGAATTTAAGCCTCCTTTGCACAAAAACATTTCCGATGGTCCTTCTACAGTCATACAACCCCATATTATTACACTCTAAATCCACCAAATTTAACAGTAAGCACTAGACAAGCTGGTAAAAATGCTTCACCAGGTCTTTTTCTCACACACCCTACTCCAGGAGTTCCAAAAATCTGTAAAAAAAATCCAAAACATCAAGTTTTGGTGCTTATTTATTATTTATATAAATTTATTTATAAGGATCTATTTATTCATTATTTCTAAAGAGCATAGTTAGTTTTTTTGCATATTTGCATATTTGCATACAAGAGCATAGTTAGTTGGATTTATTGGACCTGATTACTTTACTCCATTCTTCAGATGTCTAATCTTTACAAGGTATCGCTCATTTTAGTCTTTTTTTATAATTATTTTCTGAGAGCCAAGGTTTTTTTTTTACCTTGCTGCCTTGCAACCCACATTCAGTCAATCTTCTTTTAACAGTTTGTGCAGAAATATTGGCTCCAGTTGCCTCTGCAAGGTCATGTGATAGTGACAAAGACAATTTACAACAATTTTCCAAAGCTATTCGTAACATCATTCTATGGTATGATATCATTAAATCTTCTCGAGCTGCCTACTTTTATACATCTACTTTAAAGACTCCCGAAAGTTTTATGCCATTTTAAAGTTAGATGCATTGCACCACATGAACTTTTCAATACTTTTGCAATGTTTCGCTCACTTTCTCCTTGCGAATGTAAAAGAACAATCTGCCCTCATATTCCTTCACTAAATTCAAATTGTTTCCCCATTTTCTCAATGATAAATATTATTCAATAAATATATCACAAGAAAAAATTACCATTTACACTTTTTAACTGTTTAAATAGATCCACAATGTGCATGGTATAGAATAAAAGCAATATTCACATTTTTATTATAAAGTTGAGAGTAATGGAAATCCCAGTAATAAAATATAGTTATATTATAAGGGATTCCGCCATTGTCACTTTATATAACCAATATATTATTTGTTTTTTTTTTAAACTTATGGCCACGGCCACGTATGTATGTATGTATATATATATATATATATATATATATATATATATATACATACATATATATATATATACATATATATATATACATATATATATATATATATATATATATATATATATATATATATATATATATATATATATATATATATATATATTATAAAAATATATTATAAATATATTATAAATATATATATAAAAATATATTATAAAAATACAAAACTTTATATATAAATAAAGTATAACTATTTTCTAACATAAGATATACAAAATAGCAATAAGAATATATTTATTTACATGAATTTATAACATTTTGTTGATCCTCCCTAATTTTTTATAACTGCACAAAGATGACTCAATGTGTTATAAATGCAATTTAAAGCCATTTCTTTCAAACAGATCTGTGGAGTCGGAGTTGCAACTTTTTTAGCGGAGTTAGAGTCGCTAAACAAAATCGCGACTCCGACTCCAATAGTAAAACTTCTCAGTATTGCACGCACATGTACAAAACATTCAATTAACCTTATGTTCATACTAAACCTCAAAGAACATTTCATAAATTTGTCAAAATTTTTGCTTTGGAGTTGTAGTCAGAGTCGGAGTTGTACTCAAAAAATTTCAACAACTGGAGTCGGAGTTGTACTCAAAAATTTTCAACAACTGGAGTTGGAGTCGTTACTTTTTTTTCAAATGTGTACTATGGCTACAATGCCAAACAACTTTTTTAATTAATTGGGTCCTATTTGTGACTTTTTCTAGGGTAATTTCTCTCTTTAATAGCATCCATACATTTTATATGGGGTTTAGATTTGGGGAGTTCCCTGGCCAAACAAAAGGTGGATTTTTTAAAGATGCCAATAATTTTTTTAATGGATTTTGCTGTGTGACATTGTACTCCATCTTGCTTAAATATTTTCTGGACACAAAAGAGTGCAAGGAAGTGGTCGTGTGGCCAAACTCATGACCCCCAAGGTTATCAATTGTCTGAGATATACTATATTTGATCACAGTGACAGAGTTTCAATGAGGCAAGCCAGACGAAAATTTGGATACAGTCATTCACATATTAAAACTTTTGCCAAGTACACTGACAATAAAATTTATACAAAACAGGGTATACCTGATCCACAAGAGAGCCAGAATGAGCGAATCAAGACTGACATTGATCGTCTTTATCGCAATTTTTAAGGAAAATTGGTCATCCTTGACAACGAGTCTTACTTCATGCTATCGCATTCAACGATTAACGGAAACAGCACCTACTACTCCAACAACAAAGACAAGACTTGACCGAGCGTTAAATATTGCAAAAAGCGCAAACCCAAGCTGCTCTTTTGGCTGGCCGCTTCAGACAAAAGTATTTCCAAGCCATTTTTTGTCCCTAGCAACCTTATGGTCAATAAAGCCATCTACAAAAGGGATTGTATTAAGGGTAGATTAGCGCCGTTCATTAACACTTATCATGCTGATGGTAACTATGTATTTTGGCCAGACTTGGCCTCATCACATGCAAAAACTGTGACTAACTGCTATGAGAGTCATAATATCAATTTAAAGAGAGTGAAGAAAATAAAAAAAGGAAATGAAAAAGCAAAAAACAAACTAAAAACCAAATCAATTAAACTAACAAAAAAAAAAAAACAAAAAAAAAAAAAACAAAAAAAAAAAAACAACAACAAAAGAAATGAAAAAAGAAAAAGAAAATACTAAAATCCAAAGTTAAAAGAAAAAACATTTGAAAATGAAAAGTAATTAAAAACAATTAAAATAAAATATAAAAATTGCTCCGTTTTTGAAGAAACATAAAAGAATATTTTTAAAATTTTATTTGTCTTTTTTGACGTTTGTCTTTTTTGTTGTTGTTTTTTGTTTTTGTATTCTTGTGTATTGTTAATTTGGCATTGTAAAATATAATTCATTTTATTTGCATCTTTTTTGTATGTTTTTTAATTTAAATGTTTTTAATTTTATGTTTGTTAGAAATTTAAAAAAATGTATATATTTTTAAAGCTGTATATGTATATGTATCTATATGTGTATGTATACATAGCTATGTGAGTGCATGTACGCGCGCGTGTGTATTTATGTGCAAATATGTGTGTATCTACGCATGTGAGTAAGTATGTGTATACATCTCTATATTTGTGTTTGTGTGTGCATGTAACAATATTAAACTTTCTCATTTTTTTAAATGCTTTTTTGTTTTTAATTTATTTTTAATTTTTATCATGTTTTTTGTTATAGTTTTATTTCTTTTAGTTTTAAATATTTATTGTAGCCACAATTATTACTATTTTTAACTTTACTACTATTATTCATATTTTATTATTTTAAATTTAAATAAATGTTTTATGTTCTTGTTATTTGTTACGTTTTATCAGTCAATTGTTGGTAACTAACTTATATGTATATTTAACTATTGTGTTTATAAAAATAAGTGACTTATTATTTAATTATTTTTTTAATGTAATTAATATTATAATTGTTATTGTTGTTGTTTGTTTTATTGTTATTGTGGTTCTTATGTTTATTACTATAAATATTATTTTTATTATTATAATTATTATTCTTATAATTATTACTAATTATATATATAAAGATCTATATTTTTGGTGTTTACTTGATATTAGTAAAATTACTATTTGTAAATATCCATGAAATTATTTTTCAGAATATATATGATATAATATGAAAAAAAACTTTTAATCGATTTGTTGTAAAAATGAAAAATCATGCTGAACTATCTGCTTCCAGAATGTCTGAGTTACCTAAACACACTGGTCAATGAAAATGACTAAAAATATTATTAAAGAATTAAAAGAAATAAAACCTGATTAATTAGAAAGCTTGAAACCAAAGAGAAGAAAAAATCCTCCTATGTAAAGTGTATTAGAAAAACTTAGGAAGACTTTTGTTTTAGATTTAAAGGGTAATTAACCATAGATAGCTATAACAACAACTTAAAAAAAAAGAGTAACCACCTTGACTATAATTTTTCTGCAGCCATATGTGTACCCATTAGGAATGAGTTAAGTTTTGAACTCCTTACTTGCCAGCTAAACTTTTACAAAGAGATAGAGCTTTTTTAAAGAATTTACAAAGGGTTTTTCTAAATTTCAAAACATCTATCATAAAAGTCATTTATTACTTTATTATTTTAAGACTAAATTGAAATTTATTTTTTTGACTGATTGCTGATTTAAATTATTGAAAAATAAAGAAATAAAGTTGTTGATTTTTTGCAATTCAATATGGAATTCAAAGAGAAAAAAAACAAACTAACTGACGATTTTGTTTACTAAAACTTCATAACTTCATCAAATTTTGATAAACAAAAAAATACCTTTGGATCATCTGGTGGATCATATTGAACAATCCAATCAACTTCTGGAATGTCAAGACCACGAGCTGCAACATCTGTACATAATAAAATGCCACTTTCTGCAGTACAAAACTCAAAAAATGTACTTGTTCTCTTTTGCTGCTTTTGTTTACCCTAACAACAATCACAAAAATAGTAAGTACATAATACAAAACATTTTTTTAAGTAACACTAACAGTACTTTAAAAAAAATATAAAAAAAACAAACAGAAAACACATTCAAAATTGAATATGATAAGTAATCAAACAAAGCAATTACAGTAACTTACATGTATATCCATAACAGGTATATCAATATAATTAAGCAATTCTGAATGAAACTTTACAGAATGGCAAGATGAAAAAAAGACCATCACTTTTTTCTTCATATTTTTCTTGAGGAATGTAAATAGCAACAGAAAGCGTTTTTCTGATGGAACAACAATATATCCCTAAAAATATATTTTTGTAATGAGGTAAGTTTATTTCTCATATAACATTATTTTATATTAAACATTATTCAATTAACATGATAAGTTTAACATGACCAGTATATAAAACTCTCTAAAAATTATATTTTTGTTTTATATATATTTATAATGTAATATAATATAATATAATATATATATATATATATATATATATATATGGAATATACTTAGTATCTTTTGACGTCAAAGCTTATACATTAATGTACCTCTTTGAGAAACCATTGATAATGCTGTTAAATCAATTTTAAACAGTAATGATAATCTTAAAATTAAGAATACCAATTTAAAGAAACTCTTCATCTTTGCAACATTGCAATCACATTTTAAATTTAAAAAACAGACTTTTGATCAAATAGATGGTGTACCTATGGATTTCCCACATGCTCCTGTTCTTGCAAATTTATTTATGGATCATTTTGAAAAAAATTAGCTAAAATTATACAATGGAGTCAAGCCAGTATTTTACAAATGTTATGTTGATGACATTTTCGCCGCATTCCTATTGAGAAATGATGCATGCCATTTTCTTGACTATTTCAATAAAAGATACAATTCATTATCTTTTACTATGGAAAAGGAAAAGGAATCTAATATCTCTTTCTTGGACATTAATATAAAGAAAGTAAATATTTCCTTATGTACCTCTATTTTTCATAAGGAGACGTATTCAGGTCTTTATACTTCCTTTTGTAGTTTTATCTCTTGTTCACCCAAGGTAAATTTAATTAAATACTCAATCGATAGAACTTTTAAAATTAATAATACAAAGCTTGGTTTTTATTATGACATTAAAAATCTTTTTAACATTCTCAACATGCATCCAAGATGTATCCAACTTGGCTTATAAATAAAATTTATAATTTTAATCCTACCAAAAAAACTATTTCTATCAATAGAAATCTGAAAACCAATAAGTCATGAAAAACTACTTTACACTTCTTTATGTGGGTAATATCTGATCAAACCAAAAAAAGTTTAAACTCTATCATTAAAACCTATAAACTTTAATTTAATTTTTGTAAACCTAGAAACTTTAATTTTTACCTCCTTTAAAATTTCTAATATGTTTTCACCAAAGGATCCTCTTTCTATAGAGTTCAAATCATCCGTTGTTTATAAATTTGTATGCGCAGGATGTAATTCCTGTTATATAGGCGAAACTTCTCACCACTTCAAAACACGAATGGTTAAACACTACAGAAGAGACAAAAACTCACACATATACAAACATCTCCATACCAACAATAATTGTTTTAATAATTATAATAATGACTGTTTCTCGATATTGGATTCCAGGCCTCCAATAAATTTTAGCTTAAGATTAAGGAAAGTTTGTTCATTGAATGGAAAAATCCAGATATAAACAAACAATTAAACCATTATAAAATATCACTTTTCACATAATAGTTACCATTTTATTAGTCATTAACCATTTGTTAAATAGTTTAATAACTTTAATTGTATTTTTTGCTATTGCCTATTTTGTTATAATTGATAAAAAAAAAATTGTAATATATTTTATTACTGCAGAATATTTGTATATAAGACTAATTAAGTTTTTTTTTAACCCAACTGAAAATGACTATAAAATAGTCGAAAAATATTTTGTAATTTTATTTGTTAAAAAATAGTTTTTATAAGTGGAAAAAATTAGTGTTATTGCTCAATTGTGTGTGTATGTGTGTGTGTGTGTGTGTGTGTATATTTATACACTAGGAGAGGGGTGGGGGTCCAAAATTCTATATTTTCTGTTTAATCAATTAATTTTTATTAATTTTTTTTAAAAACGTTGAATAAACAATTAAGTTTTTGCTATTTTTTGTGGTTGGCATTCTAAAACTTGAAATCTTTGCAGCATATTCTTTGCAGGTAAAGTTACACAACTTTATGTTAAAATTTATGCTATTTAAATTTTGATTAGATAACTTTGAATTAAAATGAATGAAAGTTGCATTTAAACAAAAACAAGTCTTATCTAGTGTAAAAATTTGTTTTGATTTACTTTGCAAGAAAAAACTTAGCTATTAATTTTGTTAACTGAATTTAGATATGGATTAAAATGAAAAATATTGCAAAAAGAAGTAACAAACTAATAAATAAATCATAAACTAGTAAACAAGTCAATCAAAATTAATAATCTTTTTTAGAAATCTTCCAGTAATAGACAAATTTTATCATACAAAACTGCCTTTACTCAAGGTTGATTTTGTACTTGTCTTACAAATAGTCAAAAGTCAACAATAAATTATATTTCAGAAATTTTCATTAAATAAGATTGACTGCTCAGTAGTTGTAGAAGCAATTCGTATATACGCATCAAAAAACTTTGATGATTGTATTATTCTTGCAAATAGTTTAGCAAAAATTAGCTTTTTTTTCTTGAAACATAAAAAACATTTAGCTATTTTTAAAAAAAATACAATAATAGAAAAACTTATTATATTTTTAATCAGGTTTTTTCAATTTATAAAACAATTACAAATAACATTGAACTTAAGAATCAGCTGTGCACTCATTGCAATACTCATCACTGCAGCAAAAATCCACTTTATATAAAATCTTAATTATCGATAAAAATGCAAAAAAATGTTGCCTTATGTCTATAGAAGAATAAGCTAATAATTTAGCTAATAGTTTCTACTTAACCTGAAAAGTCTGCACAATAATCCACAATCACCTATGATGACTTTTTTTTAGTTGTTAAGGTGCTACAAGAAGAACTAAGCGTTTTATCACAAAGCACCGTGGAAGTACAATTTAACTAGGAAGTTAACACACCCTTTCTTACCAATGTCGCTTATCTAGTCAGAGCCAACCTCAAACCTCAGGACTCTTGATTCTGAGAAAGAACTTAAATCATTGCACCATGGTTGCAATGAAGTTTTTCCACATTTTTATTAGTAATAGTTAGAAATTGTTCTTTATACGGAATAATTTCATTTATAATGCCTAATTTTTTGTTGTTTTTATAACTACACATAATGATTATGTATTTTATTGATAAAGCAAAATGAAAAATATTTACCACGGATTCTACATTGATAATAGAAATGATTTTATTTAATTTAACAATTAATTACAGTGATAAGTTTTATTCATTAATCTTTGATTTTTTCTTCTTTTTGAGAAAAAAACTGATGGATATAGATTTGCAAAAAAAGTCTGCAAAGCATATATTTATATACCCTATATTCACAAGCAAATATCTTAAGCTTATTTAGCCTTACGCTAAACATCATAGGTGCTATTACAATAAAAGAACTAATAGCAGAGGTTTAAGTGCATACATTGAATGAGGCTTTAGGCTTAGGAAAGTAATACTTAGATATGACAGACTTTATAACAGTAAATAAAATTCCATTTATTTCATTATTTTTTGTTTTTTCCCTCTTTTTCTCATAAAGCTCGATTGTTTAATGTTTTAACACATTTTTTTTTTAAATTTTAACACATAAGAATATAAATGTTTAGGATATTGCATACTAAGATATACAATCTTAATATTAAACATAATATTAAATATATAATATTAAGTCAAAACAACTTTTATTGAAATTGAAGTAGAAGGCCGAATATTTATAATGAAACTTTAAGTTTCATGCCTAATAGCAAACATAAGCTATAAATTATTAATTAAAAACCAAACATTACAGCAATTTTGATTATATACTTAGTTAATTAATATATGTACAGATTCTAATCACCCACTGAGTACATACAGATTTTAATCACCCACTGAGTACATGCAGATTCTAATCACCCACTGAGTACATGCAGATTCTAATCACCCACTGAGTATATGCAGATTCTAATCACCCAGTGAGTACATGCAGATTTTAATCACCCACTGAGTACATGCAGATTCTAATCACCCACTGAGTATACTAAAAAGCATTCCTAGGTCTATCAAACTAAGATAATCAACCATACTTTCAAGTCAAACTATTTTCAAAAAAGTCTCTCCTTGTCTAGTGGCTTTGAAAAAATCTGGGTATAATTGTGAACTTGCATACCATCCAAATATAAAACCAGCACAGAACAATCATAAATGCAATATAATTTGTTATAATCCTCCTTTAAGTGTAAATGTTGTAACAAAAATGGGCAAATTTTTTTTGAATCTCATTGACAAACACAGGCTCCATAAAATATTTAAAAAATCACAATCAAAATAAGTTATTCCTGCATGCTAAACATGAAACCCATTATAAATTCTCACAATAAAAGCATTTTATATAAGGAGGCAAGTATTCCAGAAAAAACCTGCAACTACATTGACAAATTCTAATTTCCAATGAACAACCATTGCCTGTCTAATAATATTGTTTATCAGGCTGCTATTAAATCAAGTAAACCAGAATACAAATATAAACTCTGGAGATCACTCAGCGGCTCTCTAATTGTTGCCCAATAAGTCTTGTTAACTACAATTATTAAAATTTTTTAATCATCAAGAAAGTGTTGAAATTTTAAATTAAACAACTTCTAATATTTACACCTTGATGACAACCTAATGGCCTAAAAGTTTTCCAATCAAGTGTGAGTATATATGTATGCATGTATATATGTGTATGGATGTATAAATGTATGTGTATATATATGTATGTATTTTTAATCATTATTTTTACTACTACAAATTTTAATGTTCCAGGCTTGGCCAGGAAGCAGGTGCAATCGCACTCGATTACTGACCACGCAGTTGATATTGAATTGTGACAACTTGGCCACGGTTTTTAGATGTTTTGAGAACATTTAATGTATTTTAAAAAATTTGTTTTGCGGACATACATGGAAACATACATTCAGAACATTCAACTTTGATATTGAAAAAATTTTGCTTTACGAACATACATGGAACATACATTAACTCGAATGTTCTAAAAAAATCTTGTTGCGGAATAAAGAACATTCGCAAGCACTAAAAACCCGCCAAATCTACAAACAAACAAACAAACTTGATTGGTTCAAAAAATACCCTACTATGCGTCAATAACGTTCTAGAGTATAGAAGTATGTATGTCTTAAAGATTGTATTAAGTTTTCATTGAGATTTTGAGTGTAAATTGTTTTTAAGAATATGTTATCGAAGAAACTATTATTTTAATACTATTGCTTATTCATGGAGCCACAACTACAAAGCCATTAACATTTTATACATTTATTATTTACAAAAATAAAAGTTTTGAATGTATATTTTTTAAATTAGAAAAGTTTTGTAAAGTTTATAATATATAATAGATTTTAGAAGTATTTTATTATTTTTTAATATAAAAAGTATGTATTTTTTAAGTAAAAGTAATTTGATGTATGTGTTTTTTATATTAATGTATTTCTTTTAAAGCAATTTGTATGATTGATTTTGTAAACAAAAAGACTTTTAACAAAGACTTTTAACAACTCAATTTTTTAACGAATTACTCTTTGCTTCACACAAATTTTGATATAAAAATTGAACAAAATATGTTTGCTATTCTAAACTGTCTTTTTATTCCCTTCAAAAACAACCCCACCTATAAAATTATACGGTATGGGCCTGCTTTATCAGTTTTTTTAGCTTTAGAAAAGCCAATTTTTTTTGTAATTGTCTCTCATCAATCCAGGAATCTTTCTTAGCGTTTTTTTTGGAAATGATCTCAAAAAAAATGTTCTCCTTGGCCAAATTGTTGCAACTATTATATGCGTGGTCAGGAATCGAATGTGATGGCACCCACTTCCCGACCAAGCCTGATGTTCATTTTGTTACTGCTGTGGACAATTAATATTACTATAAGCACTAAAGATATATTTATTAGCTTTTAATTGCAAGGTTTTTACTTAAGATTAGTACATGTAATATTTGTAAACTTCCATAAATGTAGCAGCGATTTCAGAACTATTATTACTGATTGATCGATTGAGTCTAACAACTTATTCTCTGTCAATCAATATAGATTTTGATCCTCTCATTTCCAGTAACTAAAAAACTCTGTTGTTTCTCAATTAAGATCGTGATAATATCAAATTAAATTACAATTGATTATTATTTACTGATAACACAACTATATATTCCAGTCTTGACAAAAAAGTCATTTGATTGCTTAGAACAGGCAGGTAAATTTGAATCTGATTTTGCCTCTGTAACAGCTTGAGATTTTCAGTGGCCATTTTTAACCCTAACAAAACCCTGTTATTTATTGCCAACAATTCTACAATATTGTTACAAAACCCTGTTATTTATTGCCAACAATTCTACAATATTGTTGACATTTCTATATTATAACAGCAATACTCTGTTTTACATTATTTTGAATTATGATTTACTACTGGCCTCTCACGTTACTACCTGTTGGGGTTACCTCTTATTTGTTTGTGTATGGAATAAAGTTGTTAAATTTGGGTAAAATTTTCTAATGAAACCCTTCCTTTTTTAGACAAGATTCAAAAACACATAATAAATGTTATAGGATTTCTTCAGCTACTCCAACAACATTTACAATTTTCCATCATCACCATTTTCATTTCTACAATTACTATTATATCCACATATTAAACTTGCTATAAAAAAATAACAAAAATTGCAAACAAAAGTGTGAATACACTATTAATACATAAATAACAAAAACTTATTTACTTGCTCTAAGCCTTCGACAGTAGAAACTTCTTTGTCATCATCAACTCCAACATATAATGGCGCCTTTTTTAATGAAACACGAGCTAGATCTTCCACTTTACGTGTTTGAGTAGCAGAAAATAAAAGTGTTTGTCTTTTTTCTATTATAGAAAACAATAATTAATAACTTAAAAAAGTAATTACTAACAATACCAATATATTTTAATATATAAATTTTATATATAAAAAATGCAAATATATACAATAAATAATTTAAAACAAACTTGGTAATATTTTTATAATTTGTTTCATTTCTTCTTCAAAACCAATTTCTAGTATCCTGTCAGCTTCGTCTATGATAAGACATTGTAAATTCTTGAATACAAAACCAGGAGTATTCTAAAAAAAAAAAAGCTAATTATTTTGTCACCCTATTGAAAAATAAATCCATCTGAAATAAAACTACAAAAAAAAAAAAAAAAAAAAAAAAATAGTTGTGAAATATACATACATATATTTACAGCTAAAGATTGAGGCATAAGTACATAAATTGACCAAAATTTTGTTTTAGGCCTCATGTATGTTTGTAAGAAAAATAATAAATGCAAAAATAATGTCAGTTTGCTTCACTTTCTAATAAATATACATTTCCAATAAAGTATTGGAATAGTTAAGTAAATGGACATTATTTTTAATTAAGTCTTGAGTTTTACGGTGTTTAATGTGGCTTAGATTATCCCACATTAAGATCTCTAAAAACCTGCATATATATGGGATATGACTAAAATATTTTTATTGTTAATTTTTTTAATGCTACAATGGAAAAGAAAACATTTTTTTACAGAAAATACCATAAAAATGCATTAACTCCTAAAAAAGGGCACCTACCAAGACACCTGATGACATAATGGGTAATATAAACATTATGGATTACATGGTACAAAATTATATATGACATATTACCAAACATATTTTTCTCCTAAAGCATATCAAGTTGGAACTTAAAAAGTGAACTTTAACAGAGATTTCATAAATATTAATCATTTTGAAAGAGAACCTATTCAAAGGAGAATCTTTTCTTAAAGAAACTATTGTTAGAAAACATTTTAATAAATGTCATTTTTAATTTATAGTTAAAAATGTTTTAATAATATTTTTTATAATATAAATATTTAGTTGTTTTTTTTTAAATAATTTTAAAATATTACTTTTAATTAAAAATTTTTTTTTTTTTTAATTTTTTATGATATTTTGCTCCTTGAAATGTTTTGGGAGATTTTTGATAACACAATGTAACAACATTTTTGTTTATGTTAATTTTTTAATGTTTCTAACATCATTTTGGTATGCTGATTTCAGTGGTACCATTGGTTTTGCTCTATCATCAAGATTTTCTGAGAAAAAGCATAAAGTATATTTCGGAGTTTTCGTATATGTGTAATGCATTTATAACATTATACATTTATATATGCTGATTTATTTCACTCTCTCTGCTGAGCCACTGACAGTGGCAGGTGGATTTTTTTTTCCTCCAACAAGCCACTGTCAGTGGCTTAGTATATTTTGCATCTTTTTTTTATAATCCTACTTTTAATATTACGTCTCCTTATTATAGTTTTTTAGGTATTCAATTGTCACTTCCTTTGTTATTGTTTATATTTATTTATGTTGATTTAAAGCATTTTTTAAATAAATATTAGCACATTTTGGGTACAATTTTTTTAACAAATGAGAGAATGAGTTAACTTTATTATTTTGTTTATTATTAGTTTAAGTAATTACAACTGTTATATGAAGTGATGATTATGACTTGTCCCTATCGGCACATCTAGTTTCTTTTTCGGAAATAAAACCTATATAGGCACGTGTTTTTCACGATCCAGGCGTAAACCAAAAGCACGTGTTTATTACGGGCAGTTTTACTAGAGTTTAACACGTGTTTTTTGAGGTTTTAAAGTCAAATTTAAATGTTGTATGTTTTTATCAGTGGTTTCACATTCCGTACGGAAAGTTATTAAAATATAATACTACGTTTCCATAACGGTGAAACCATTAATACTTTAACTGGTATTTATGGTAAATAGTAATAGTTAATTTCACGGAATAAAAACCATTTAGGATACGTGTTATTCTTTTTGTTTTAGAAGGTTTTAAAAACGCAACAGAAACCAAGCGTAACTATTTTCTGAGTTGTGCCGGCTGGGGTAGATCCTGGAAGCTTTGCCCTGACTCGTTAGTGGTTACTATATTAGTCTAACACAAACTAAACATAAGATTGTCAGTAGTAAAATTTTTTCCATGCATATCATATTTGGGCACTCTACTGCAGATCAACTCTGGAAGAATGGCTGCGTGGAATCCAAGTCAATGCCCTTTGCGATTCCGAGAATATGGAGAGAACCGTTGAACCATCATGGTGACTGTTATTTTTGCATGGTTGACATTACAAAGTATAAAAAGCCGAAGGATAGACTGACTTTAGTTTATCCAAGTATTCCCTCTTCTATTGGACCAGTTCCACACAGTGATGAATTGCCTGTTTCTAACCCAACTCAATCAGAAGAAACAACTGCATACCATTCTGATGTAGACACATCGGATGAACTCCTTGATGACTGTGATTTCATCAAACCGAATAATTCACCTCATTTCCCAAACCAACAAAAGCTTGATGGCTTAGTACGAGATTTAGGTCTTACTAAATCAAATGCAGAACTTTTGACATCACATTTGAAAGAATGGAATTTATTAGATTCAGGCTGCAGAACCTCGAAATACCGAACAAGACATGAAACATTTGCATCCTTTTATGTAGTATCAGAATCACTGTGCTACTGTCATGATGTTCGTGGTCTTTTCAATCACATTGGCGTTGTCACAATCTTGAAGAGTTGAGGTTATTCATTGACAGTTCAACAAGAAGTCTAAAGGCAGTTTTGCTCCATAACGGAAACCAATTTTCTTTGATTCCAGTAGCTCATTCCGTTCATCTAAAGGAAGACTACAAGAACGTGAAGTTGTTGCTTGAGAAAATCAACTACGGCAGCTACAAATGGAATGTGGAGACTTTAAGATGCTAGCATTCCTTCTCGGTCTACAAGGAGGATACACAAAGTACTCATGTTTTCTTTGTTTATGGGAAAGCAGGGCTGCGCACCAGCACTTCATGAGACATTTGTTTCAGTTTGCACAGTGTAATTAATCAATCCCTAATACCTGTTGAGAAGATCTTACTACCACCCCTTCACAATTAACTAGGTCTTGTCAAATAATTTGTCAAAGCATTAAACCCAGCGTTTCAGCATATTCGGCAGATGTTTCCAAAGGTGTCACATGTAAAAATTTTAGGTGTATTCGTTGGTCCGCAGATGAAAGTTATGTTGGCATGTAAGGAGCTGGAGGTCAAAATGTCTGCTGTTGAAAAAGAAGCATGGATTGCGTTTAGACATGTTGTTCATGATTTTTTAGGCAACAATGTAAGGAGCTGGAGGAACGTGAAGGAAACATTAGAAACGTGATGTAATATTACATTTTGTAACATAACATAACGTTTTTGAACTAGTTAATATTATATGTTGACTAAAATCTCATGCAATATGATTAATGTTAATTATATGTTTAATTGAATTTTTGGTTTTGTGATTAAACGGTTGATGCGATAAAAAAACCAATGTCATATTCAGACTCAGCATACTCAAGTTAAATAAGAAACAACAAAAAATTTTGATAAACAGAGAAATTTTTTTTTTTGTAACATTGTGTAATATATAAATTTTGATATCTGCCACTTATAAACTGGTCAATCCCAATTAGTTTCGAAGATTCATCTCATGACGTTTTTGTAGAAACGTGCTCCGCAAATGCTTTAACCCAACTTGTATCCAACAATACTCGACTTAACAACCTTCTAGATCTGATACTAACCAACAACTCTAAAAACTTTTTAATATAGAAACTATTGCCCCATTCACAAGTATCTGCGACCACTGCATGATTATTTTCAATTGTAATTTAGAGAAATATAAATCATATCAAAAAACGACTAAGTATAATTTTTTCAAAACTGATTACAACTCTATAATCTCCGATTTACAAAATGTAAACTGGTATTTACTAGCCAAACAAAATCAAGATGTTGAAACATTCTGTCAAATTATCTGTAACTTTTTAAATTCGTCTATCTCATCGCATGTACTGTTAACTTTTAATAAAAAAAACAATATCCAACCTCTAGCCATATGAAAGTTAGCCTCCAAAAAACCTACTCTCTATAGAGATTACAAAAGAACAGGTAATCCATCTACTCTTGTCAAATTCAAGATCTGTTCCCGTTTATATGATGCAGAACTTCAAAAAAATTGCATTTCTAGAGAGTAAGATTTAGTGGTTAAATCCAATATCGCCAAGTTTTACTCTTTCGTAAATAAAAAATCCAAATGCTATAATTCTGTTGCGCCATTACTTCAAACTGATGGTTCCCTTATTACAGATGATTATGAAAAATTATAACTTTTGAACAATTTTTTTGGCTCTGTTTTTGTTACTGACAATGGTATTGCACCAGTCTCAGATTTACCAAAACACAAAAATTGTTTAAATAATATTATATTTTTGTACAATTCTGTTGTTTCTCATCTAAAAAAGCTTCCACCCAAATCTTCCAAATCCCCTGATGGATATCCTGCCATATTTTTAAAGTCGATTGCAAATGTTACTGCTATTCTATTTTCTATTCTGTTTGAAATGTCAATGTCCAAAAATGTTATCCCTAGGATCTGGAAAACCGCAATAATATGTCCAATATTTAAAAAAGGAAACCCGTTGTTATCCACAAATTATAGACCTATTTCTATGACATGTATTGACTGTAAAATTATGGAATCAATTATCACGGAAAGCATTGCAAGTTATTTACTCCTGAATAATTTCATTTCTATGCATCAGTATGGTTTCTTAAAACGTAGATCCTTATGTACACAGATGTTGACAACATTAAATGAGTGGACCACTGCTGTTAATAATAAAAAGATAGTTGATATCATCTATATAGACTTTGAGAAAGCCTTCGATACTGTGTCTCACTCTAAGTTACTATTTAAACTGCATTGTTACGGTATCAAGTATGAGTTGCTAAATTGGGTTACAAACTTCTTGACAAATCGTTCTCAATGTGTTTGTATTAATGATTCATACTCAAACAGCATTCATGTAAAAAGTGGAATACCTCAAGGAACTGTTTTGGGACCCATTTTATTTTTAATTTTTATAAACGATATATCCTTGTGTATTGAGGGGGATTGTGGAATCAAGCTTTTTGCAGACAACAGCAATTTGTATCAAGCGAGAAAAGACAGAAATAATATCAACCTTGTAAATACTTTAAAGAGAATTTCAGAATA